GTCAGACACTATCATTCTGGACGTCATATCGAACTACCTGGTGCTTCCCAATCGCATCACGGTTCCTCTGGTCAGCGAGGTGCAGATCGCACAGCTGCGGTTCCCTATACCAAAGGTAAGCACCCCGACACTCGCAGGTAGGCCGGGCAGCTTTTCACATCCCTGGGTGTGGTGATTCCTGGTGTTTCTCCTAACGGTGACCTTGGCACGTGGCCCTCCGTGCAGTGCAGGGGCTTGTCCTGCCTCGCTCCTCAGGAGACTGGCCAAGGGACATCTGGTCTGAAAGCTTCCAGAGACTGAGGGCAGTTCCAAAACCCCAGCTGTGAAGCTCAGAGGTGCTCCTGGGGCCTAATCCTGCAGGTGTTGTTGCAGATCGTAAAGGACAGCTGTGACAACTGATTTATCCACTTGTACGTATCCAAGTATCACCATTTTCTAAGCTGGGACTTCACACCAGCTCCCTCTCAGATGTGGCAGTGTGGCCACCGGTGGGGTCACTGGGTGAGCCACATGGCAGGGGCATTGTTGGTGTTACAGCTGCCTCGGATGGGACAGGAGGGGATGGGCTGGGCTTCAGTCTCTTCACCTGTAAATTGGGGTGATACCTGGCACACAGAGGTCGGTCACAGATACTGGAGTTGCCCTCCTTTGAGTAAACTAAACAGCTTTGTCCCAGGACTGCGAGAGCTTGCCAGTCAAGGAATGAGACTGATCTGCTGCACACGGAGGACGTGGTAGAGGGATGGTCCTGCCCAGTTAGTGAGAGCGCCTCCTACACGGGGCTTCGCACCAGCCGGCTGGTCTGTCTCCCTGACCGTGGGCCCCAGAAGTGGACGGGCCGCCTGTCACGTGTCTGTTACTCTCCTGCAGAAGGTCTTGAGCTGGCCCTATTTCAGTGTGTGTTTCCTGAAGAGGAAGTGGGCGGTTACTCTGCCTCTGCCTATTGCTCTTACTAGTTAAATCAGAGCTCAGTGACAGTGCACAAATCAACACACACGGTGAGCATTTCTGCACTTCTGTGAAGTAGCATCACCCCAGTCATTTGTGCCCAAATTAGTTAGTGTTGGCCTTCAGCAGATCTGAGGGGACACCACATACAAGACAGGGATATCTTCTCCTTAATTTAGGATTCTCATCTCTGAAAATGCAGGGCTGACTTTCCACGTAGAAGTCCCGTGGTCCTTGGCCATGAGGCTTGTTACTCTCTGAGCGGAGTGACATCTGAGCCCTCCCAGACCTGACCTCTGCAACTGTGGGTTAAAGCCGTTGCTGCTCAGTGTGTGCCAGAGTATCTAAGCTTTAGATGTGTGAAAATATAAACAGTGAATTTTGCTTGTTAAGTTTTTAGAAGTGTATTTGTGAAAATGTGTATCTTCCCTTGCTGATTGGGTCAGGAATGTTACCTGGTAATTTTTTCAAACGTGTTTGTGAGGTAGGATGCCCCTCCTCCAAAGGTAACTTCACATTTGTGTTTGCCTTGAAAGAAATGTAAGTGGATATTTTTTACTTTAATGATTAGACAACATTTTAGGGGAAAAAGAGAACTGTGTGTAAAGTCTGTGAGTGGTATGTATGTCAGAGTTTCAGTGTCCCATCCTTGAAGCAGGTTTAGTGGCAGGCCGTCATGGGCTTGTTCTGAGACTGGATGGGGTCATCCGTGCATGTGAGGACTTGGTAACGAGCTCGTGCATCCTGTACTGCTGGTTACCCTTACGTGTATCTGCAGTGACCGCTGCTGTCTCCACTACCAAGACACAGGACTGTGGTCCTGCTGCTCCACCCCGCCCTGCCCAAGCTGTTGCTCTGGGAGCTGCCCCGGGGAGGTCCCTGGAGGAGTGGGGCTCACGCTGGCCCTGGGCTCTGTCCCTCAGCCCTGCCCGGCGCTGCGCAGCTGTGCTGTCTTTGCTGCACCAGGAGGGGCCCGTTTTGTTCCTGGCACAGCTGTGGTTCCGTCTTGGGTGAACCAGCGGACAGTATGCTTTGTGCTCCTTTCCAGGGTGTCCTGAGGATACACTTCATTGAAGCTCAGGATCTTCAGGGGAAGGACACTTACCTTAAAGGACTTGTCAAGGGGAAGTCAGACCCCTATGGAGTTATTCGGGTGGGCAACCAGATCTTCCAAAGCAAGGTCATCAAGGAGAGCCTCAGTCCTAAGTGGAACGAGGTTTACGAGGTGAGCCCCTCCCTGGCCCCGCCCACGCCATGCCTCACCACTCTCCCGTCCCGCCCCACCCCGCCCCGCTCCCGCCTGCTTCCTTCAGGTGCTGATTTGGTCTCACTCTTGCTTTAAGTTCCCATCGTCTGAAATATGTACCTGGTGTTGCTACCTCGCAGCACTCTGTTAGGCCAGCACGCAGAACTTTAAACCTTAATCACATGGAGCTATGACAGGGAGTAACTAGCACAAATCGTATACAAAAGCGAGGTTCGCTGTATACTGTTTTGTGAGCTTCCATTTGGTGTCTCTGGATGTCCCTACGCGTCAGTAAATGCCGCCGCTCAGTTGAATAGGCCCCATCGTTTCTCTGCCCAGAGCGGTCTCGGCTGTCTGGTTCAGCGTTGCAACCGGTGCCGCACCAGTGTCATGGGACAGATTTGTCTTCACTTAGCCAAGCTCCCCCAGATAACGCTCCTCAGAGTGGAGCTGCGCATCCAGAGTTACCTGCGTCTGGAGGGACTGACACAGACGCAGGATTGTTCCTCAGAGAGGGGTGCAGCTCGTACCCTACCAGCTTCCCTCCTCCCTGCCCCGTCTGTGGCCAGATCTCTTTTGGTGGTGGGTGGGTGGCTTGTGGGTCGCAGGAGGCCAGCACTGACTGCAGCTGCTGCAGGACTGGAGAGATGTCCCAGCCTGTGACCCTGCCCTGGAGCGACAGGACCCCGATACTGAGGACAGATGCAGTGGGCTGTGACCATGCGCGCAGGTGTTTCACGTGACCCCCAGGCGTCCAGCAGTGTGTCAGGACTGCCGGTGGGAAACCTCAGTGCCAGACAGCTTCTCGCCCCGGTGGTCTCCACACTCGACGGTAAAATGTGAAATAACTACGATTTTTAACCTTCCAGGCTCTGGTCTATGAGCATCCCGGACAGGAACTGGAGATCGAGCTCTTCGATGAAGACCCGGACAAGGATGACTTTCTGGGAAGGTCAGTCCTGTGTGTGATTTACGCTGTGCTTACATATTGGAAAAATAAACACTGATTTGTTTACTTACATTGAACAACCAGTATAGCTGAAAAGGTGAGCTTTCAAAAAGCATACTTTAGCCTAATCCTTATTATTTAACTGACTTTCTTGTGGCAGAAAAGATATGGGGGTAGGTGACATTGGACAGGCCTGGCTTCATCAAGAATGGCCTGTTGTCAAGCTGTGACCTCAGAATTCATTCATGAGATGATTTAATAAGGAGCACCCCCAAAGACTCTGAGCCAGGCAGTGATCAGGTCAGATGTGATTCTGCCAGACCACTGCTGGGTCAAGGTGTTGGGCTGGGGCTGGCCCCGGGGAGGGGGAGGAGGGGAGGTGGCAGGCATGGGGAGGCTCTTGGAGCAGCCTGGAAGGATGCTGGGCTAGCCCAAGGCGGAGGGTGGGCAGAGAGCCAGCGGCTGCAGGAGGAAGGGTGTGGTCCTCCGTCCTCTTCGGCTCTGGCCCAGGGCTCACAAGCAGAGCAGGATGGTGGGGGAGGGAACGCACCCCTGGCGCCCAGAGCAAGAGGCGGGGGAGCTGGTCAGAGCTGAGGAGTGCGCCTGCCCGAGGGCTTGGGGAAGACTGGCCTCCGGCTCCACTGCCTTGGCCCCTCCCTTCCTCGCTTCACATTCTCTCCTGATAGACTACTGTTTTGTTGCATGTCTGGAGTGCTTTTTCACAGACTAATATTTAAGGCTGTTTCAGTTGTAAGAAGTGTGTTTCTGTGTTCTGAAGTTGTTGTGTTGTTTCTGTAGTCTTATGATTGACCTTACCGAAGTTGAGAAGGAGCGCCTTTTAGATGAAGTAAGTGTCCTCTGGGTTTGTTCTATTTCACAAGTATTGACTGAGTCCCTGCTGCCGCCCCCACTTGGTGATCTGAGAACTTAACATCTGCCTCACAGACACGAGAGCTTGGGCCTCCTAGTAACAGCAAAGTGAAGTAAGTTTCAGAGCCAAATCAGATAGTGTGTATTGAGCGCCTGCTGTATGCTCAAAATACCCAGGGAGCCAACAGAAGTCCGCTTCATTTCAGGCAGTGCACTCTCCTGCGGGGTCAAGGCAGAGCCTGGGAGAAGCTCCCTAAACTGGACACTTCACAGGTAGATAGAGTTCCTAGCAGAGCTGACGCAGTGCGGCTGGTGAGAAAGGTCCCAGGAAAGGCACCCGCGGACTGGAGGGCCTGGGCAAGTCAGGCACGATCAGCCAGGTCCCTGCTTCCAGAGTGACACGCCCTCCTTCCTGTGCGTGGCACTCGGCAGGCATTTGCATCCGTCACGTGCTGTGCCGGGCACTTAAGAGTGCTGGTGTTGGCTGAAGAGACAAAACCCTGTGCTCCGGGCAGGTCCTTCTCAGTACTGAGCGCTGGGACTGCCCCTGGTTAACTGCTTTGTGACTTGTAAGCTGAAACAAGGGTGCACTATTTATTAAGCACATAGAGATGAATAGAAACAAGCATGTCGGCCTGCCTGACGTTGACACTCAGTATTTGGGATCAGTATTATGTTCTCTCTGGGCCCATAGGTTCTGTTAGGTTCTGTACGTAGGGGCCCACAGTGCTGGAGAGCACGAGAGGGAGGTGGGTCCCGGTGTGAAGCAGGGATGGAGTTAGCATCCGCGAGCTAGTGCACGCGGAGCGTCTGGAGTGTCGCCGCCGCGGGCGGCGCCGTGTGAGGTCCCCACCGCTCTCAGGCCGTCCCGCGGGCAGACTGCGCTCAGTGTGTCTGGCTCGGAGCCCGTGCTGAGCTGCTTGTTTCCTCCGCAGTGGTTCCCCCTGGACGAGGTCCCCAGAGGAAAGCTGCATCTGAAGCTGGAGTGGCTCACGCTGGTGACCAGTGCTGCGGACCTGGACAAGGTGCTGGAGTGCCCGCGACAGCAGTCCCACAGCAGGATGAGGGGCTGAGGGTTGTGCTGCTGTGTGATTAGGACAGTGCAGCCCTCGTTCTGACCCTCATGCTGAGAGTCACCGCAGTAGCATCGGTACCCATTAGAGGTTTTTAAAAGGGAGATCAGCAGGTCATTCACCTGTGTTACAAGGTCTTTGCATGTTGTACTTAATGTTGTGCAGGGATTTGAGAGCCACAGGTCACTGAGTGCTTCATTTGATTGATTTCTGTAGAATCTTGTCATGTTCACTCTCTTTGTGTTGCCTGTATTGGGTGGTTTATTTTTCCACTTTTCTTATTTTCCTGAGCATTATAATCAGGTAGAAATACCGAGAATCTTTTGGAAACACACCTGCTGAGGCCCATGCCTTCCCTTGAAGGTGCTGATGGACATCAGAGCTGACAAAGACCAGGCCAACGACGGGCTGTCCTCTTCGCTGCTGATCTTGTACTTGGACTCGGCGAGGAACCTTCCGGTAGGTGTGGCTGCGGGAGCTGCCTGGGTGCTGGAGTCCTGGTGGCGGCTCTTGGTGTGTTCAGCCGCGCCTGCGCCTACGCAGCCATGCTTCCACTTCACCCCGGCCCAAGGAGCGGCAGGGGACGAGTTCTTGTGCAGTTCCCTCAGGAGCGTAGTTCTGTGTTTCTATATCTTACTGGCAAGATGTTCAGAACTGTCTTTACTCCAGCATGTTTTATGAAGAAGCCTCCAGGATGTAGGAAGAGAGTACAGCTAGTAGTTAGGGAAGAAGATATTCTGTAGGAAGTTGCTAAATTATTAAAATTATTATTATTATTATTAAAATTTAGTTGCCTGAAGATGAAAATTGTCTCCCTTTGGCCTGGGAGTGAAGTAACAGAGCAACGTCCGTCCGGGCGGTGGCCCGGTGGGAATGGGGCATCGTGGGGCTCAGTGGTGCTCAGGGCGCACTGGCGCAGCAGGCAGGACCCCCAGCCCTGCACACGCGGCCTGGACCACGTGCTCCTCCTCGTTCGCATCAGGGTTCTCTTGCTCTTAGAAGAAGATGTAGAGTAGAGTCTTTGTAGATGATAACCATCGGCATGGAGGAGAAGAGTCACACTGTGCCATCACACGAGGCCTGGTGGGACCCTCCACTGTACCCTAACCCCCAGTGAGGGTGATGTGGTCACTAAAAATGATGAATTTTTTTGAGTGCCCATTCACTTGCTCAGCAGTCTTTCTGCTCTGTTTCTTGTGCGGGAGCCCAATTTTTTTGAAAGAATGACCACCGGCACCAGATGCAGGCTGTTTCCTCCCGGGACTTGATAACAGGTGCCCACCTGTCTGTACGTTGTGGGCAGTCTCCCCGTGGGCGTGTCCTCGGTGGAGGTGGAGGGAGCATGCGGGC